GCTCTAGATGTCCCAGCAGATAACCTCAGGGAGCCAGGTGCCAGGGAGTGACCGCCCTCAGCAAACCTTCCGGCAGCAGGCGCAGTGTGAGTTTGCCCACATCCTGCATTCATGATAGAAGGTTTTCTGTTTGATCATATAGCCTCCAGTGGAATGCTGAGTTGGTCACGATCCCTTTGGCCTTTTCAGCTCCCAACATAGAACTATGGAAACTACTAAAAGAAAACATTGAGGACACTCTCCAGGACAATGATCTGGACAAAGAGTTCTTGAGTAATATCCAAAAAGCACAGGCAACCAGAGCAAAAATGGACAAATGAGATTACATCAAGTTAAAAAGTTTCTGGCACAGCAAAGGAAACAACTAACAAAGTGAAGAGAAACCCACAGAGTGGGAGAAAATGTTTGCAATCTACCCGTCTGACGAAGTATTAATAACCACAATATATAAGGAACACAAACAACTCTATAGGAAAAAATCTAATCAATTAAAAATGAGCTGAAGATCTGAATAGGACTTTTCTCAAAAGAAGACATGGTCAAGAGGTCTATAAAAGGTGATCAACATCATTGATCATTAGAGAAATGCAAATCAAAACTACAATAAGATATCATCTAACCCCAGTTCAAATAGCTTCTATCCTCAAGAAAGGCAATAATGAATGCTGGCAAGGATATGCAAAAGAGGAACCCTTATACGCTGTTGGTGGGAATGTAAATTATTAGGTTGCTACAAAAGTAATTGTAGTTTTTGACATTGAAAGTAATGACGGCCAGGCGCAGTGGCTCACGCCTGAGAGCCAAGGAGGGTGGCTCATGCCTCGGAGGCCAAGGCAGGTGGATCACCTGAGGTCAGGAGTTCAAGACCAGCCTGGCCAACACAGTGAAACCTTGTCTCTACTTAAAATACAAAAAAATTAGCTGGGTGTAGTGGTTTGCACCTGTAATCCCAGCTAGTCGGGAGGCTGAGGCAGGAAAATCGCTTGAACCCAGGAGATGGAAGTTGCAGTGAGCCGAGATCGCACCACTGCACTCCAGACTGGGGGACAAGAGTGAGACTTTGTCTCAAAAAAAAAAAAAAAAAAGAAAAAAGGAAAAAAAAAAAAGAAAGTAATGACAAAACATTACAGAACAGGGTAAAATCCCATTTACCCTGATGTGATTATTACCCATAGTATGCCTGTATCAAAATATCTCATGTACCTCATAAATATATACACTTACTGTGGACCAATAAAAATTAAAAAAAAAAGAATTTTAAAAATTAAAAAAGTTATAAGATGATTAGGAAAATTTGAACAGTCACTGGATATTTGATGATATTAAATAATTATTTTCTTATTTTTACAATATAATGATATTATGGTTCTATTCCTAAAGTTCTTACGTTTTACATATATTTACATACTAAAATGCTCACCATCATTATATAGTGATGAGATTTTTTAAAAGGGTCCTTAAATGCTCATAGAGGTATTTATGAACAAAATGATATTTTGCCTGGAATTTGCCCAAAAAGAATCCAGGGTTTTGTTACTGTTGTTGTTGTTGCCTTTGGAGAGAGAGGGGGATACTGTGGATGGTTGTCCTCTCCAAATCTCATGTTGAAATGTGATCCCCAGTGTTGGAGGTGGGGCTTAGAGGGAGGTGTCAGATCACAGGGGTGCATCCTTCATGAATGGCTTAGTGACATCCCCTTAGTGACATCTGAGTTCTCACTCTATTAGTTCACTGGGGAGCCGGTTATTTAAAAGAAGCCTGGCCCTTCCTCCTCGCTGTCTTACTATGTGACATGCCTACTCCCTCTTTATCTTGCCATGATTGTAAGCTTCCTGAGGCCCTCACCAGAAGCAGATGCCGGCAGCACACTTCCTGTACAGCCTGCAAAACTGGGGACCAAAATAAACTTCTTTTCTTTATAAATTACCCAGTCTCAGGTATTTTTTACAGCAATGTAAATGGACTAATACAGAGGAATAATAGGTGAAACAAGATGGATTAGATGTTTCTAACTGTTGAAGCTAAGTGATGATTGTATATAAAGGTTCATTCATAAATTTTCTCAACTTTTATATGTTTGAAATTTCCCACAATAGAAAATTTTTTAAATGAACAAATAGTTCTATCCACTATTCTCTAAAAGTATAATAACCTCTGAGAAGGGAGTAGGAAGCTTTGATGGCTGGGCAGAAATAAGTCCTAGCCAGGTCTATGGAGAATACTGCTCTGGGAGACCCCTAGGTCAGGAGTCTTCAGCCCTGGGCTGCAGACCAGTACAGGTCTGCGGCCTGTTAGGAACTGGTCCACACAGCAGAAGGTGAGCGGCAGGCCAGCAAGCATTACCGCCTGAGCTCTGCCTCCTGTCAGATCAGCCGGGGCATCAGATTCTCACAGAAGCGTGAACCCTGTTGTGAATTGTACATGTGAGGGATCTAGGTTGCATGCTCCTTATGAGAATCTAATGCCTGATTATCTGAGATGGAACACTTTCACCCCCAAAGTGTATCCCCCACCCCCTGCCCCCAAGGAAAGATTGTCTTCCATGAAACTGGTCTGTGGTGCCAAAAAAGTTGGGGACTGCTGTCCTAGCTGATTGTGATCAAGACCAAGCTGTAGAATGCTATGTGTCTTCTTAAGGAACTTTTAGCTAGGCAAGTGTCAGGATAGATAAGTTCAAGTTCCAGTGTTCAATGCTTTGCTAATTTAGACCCCACTTGACCAAGTCCATTTTATTTTTTTCATTTCCACATTAATTCGAGTGTCATCCATCCTACAAGACCCAGCTCAAATTCTACCTCTTCCTCACTGATCTCTTAGCTGGTGATCTCCCTTTTTCCATATCCTTTTCAGTGGATTGTTTCCTGACAACTTTTGCCAACCTGAGTATAGGCTCCTTAAAACCAGGGACTGGCAGGGCACGGTGGCTCACGCCTGTAATCCCAGCACTTTGGGACACTGAAGCGGGTGGATCGCTTGACTTTAGGAGTTTGAGACCAGCCTGGGCAACATAGTGAAACCTCATCTTAAAAAAAAAAAAAAAAATTAGCTGGGTGTGGTGACTTGCCTGTAGTGCCAGCTACTTGGGAGGTTGTAGTCCTGTAGTCCCAGCTACGAACACTTGGGAAGCCGAGGTGGGAGGATTGGTTGAGCCCAGGAGTCAGAGGTTGCAGTGAGCTGAGATCGCGTCACTGCACTCCAACCGCGGTGATAGAGTGAGACCCTGTCTCAAAAACAAACAGACAAACCCCAAAACCAGGGACCATGACAAATTTTAAAAATCTCTCAGCACCAAAAATAATACTATCCACAAAGTCAAAGCTCCATTAATATTTGAATAAAGGTTGAAAGAGTCCAATAAGTAGATCAATTAATGATTTTTTAAAAAGTGCTGGTCTCTCTGTCCTGGTAGTTTCAAAAAACCCCACTCCGATTCCTATTTTGAAGCCGCTGGATTTTTTTTGTTTTTGTTTTTTAGACAGAGTCTTGCTCTGTCGCCCAGGCTGGAAGGCAGTGGTGCGATCTTGGCTCACCGCAACCTCCACCTCCCAGGTTCAAGCGATTCTCGTGCCTAAGACTCCCGCGTAGCTGGGACTACAGGCCTGTGCCTCCATGCCCGGATAATTTTTTTTTCTTGTTTTGTATTTTTAGTAGAGACGAGGTTTTGCCATGTTGGCCAGGTTGGTCTCGAACTCCTGAGCTCAGGCAATCCGCCCGCTTTGGCCTCCCAAAGTGCTGAGACTACAGGCGTGAGCCACGGCGCCCAGCCAGCTGCTGGATATTTTGATCACTTCAGGTATACTGAGCATGAAATCAGTGCATCTGGCAGTACATAGGAGACTGAAATACTTTTTTTATTTTTTTTTTATTTATTTATTTATTTTTTTTTTGAGACGGAGTCTCGCTCTGTCGCCCAGGCTGGAGTGCAGTGGCGCGATATCGGCTCACTGCAAGCTCCACCTCCCGGGTTCACGCCATTCTCCCGCCTCAGCCTCCGAGTAGCTGGGACTACAGGCGCCCGCCACCACGCCCGGCTAGTCTTTTGTATTTTTAGTAGAGACGGGGTTTCATCATGTTAGCCAGGATGGTCTCGATCTCCTGACCTCGTGATCCACCCGCCTCGGCCTCCCAAAGTGCTGGGATTACAGGCTTGAGCCACCGCGCCCGGCCGAAATACTTTTTTTAAAGCTGTTATTCAAACTGAAGGAGTTTTTCCCTGTGATCTATAATCGCCACGTGCCCGTTCTGTATACGGCCATCCTGGGCTTTTTCAATCCCACGTCCACTACCTAAGAGAACACGTCTGCAAGGCTTGGAGTGAGTACGGTACAATCAGCTTCAGATGTTAAGCAAATATTCCAACCTGGAGTAGGAAAATGGAATATGGATGGGGCTTTATGAAGGTGAATGTTCAGGCAAAGGATCTTAGTGGATGAAATTTCGACAGTAAAGATTCCTCCCAACCAAAGACCAAAAACGACACATACGAGCAAAACATCAGGAAGAACACTCCTGTGTGGAAAATATTACACGGAAAACAAAAGAAGAGTCACTTTTTCCCTTTTGGTTTAGCCCGCTCTGTTCCTCAGGTCGACCGTCACCACCTGACACACAGCGACTTGGGAAGGAGGTAAACGCAGACACTGCCCTCGCTGCCCAGGGGAAGCCCAGAAGCGCGCCCAGAGCCAGGCCCCGGGCGGGTGCCACCGAGCGCGGACCTCCCTCGCATCCTAGAGCGGCCGCGCGGGACCCGGCCGGCGGCGCACTTCCGCCAGGGCGCATTGCAGCCCCGCGGACGGTTGGGCCAGGGTGTGGGCCTGCGCCTCCCTCGGCTTCTGGCGCGGGCCTCGAGGGTGAGTGCGGTGGGCATGCCAGAGGGGGGCGGGCGCGCTTCCTCGGGACTCGCCGGCTCGACCAGGCCCGGCCCGGCGCCGGGGACCTAAGCCTGGGGAGCGCCCGGGAGCGAGGACGCGCCTCGTTCACCGCCCCGGGCCGGAGCCTCGGCCGCCCGGCGCCGCCGCCCACCCCGCCTTTTTCGAGGCTAACACGGTCTCATGGGGGAGCCTGAGCTCTCTAGAGGCGGAAATCTGGCCTCTGGCCCTACCTGTACCTCGGCCTCTCACTTTCCGCCTCCCGGCCCCGGTTCTTTCAGCTCTAAGATGGAGGACGGCGGTATCTGCCCTATGCACAACGCAGGGTGATTGCAGGGTTGACACGGCCTGTCTGAAAACGAAGGAGCTCTGGTTCTCAACCCGGCAGCCAGTAGAATCGTTTGGGAAGCCTCCAAATGCTGATGCCCCATCATCACCGGGGAATTGTGATCTGTGGCCAGGACCGAGATCCACGGGCCCAGAGTGAAATGACAGTACTGTGATCACGACTGGAATATGCACTTCGCCGAATGTGGATCACAGTCTTGAGAAAGCAAGCAGCTGGGTTTTTGTTTTTGTTTTTTGTCCAAGAAGACAGGGACCTAATCTGGTTTGCTCGCATTTAATTCCTAGTGCCTAGAATGGTGCATGTCCCAAAACATGCACCATTGATGAAATAATTTCTAATTATTTCCCGACCTGTTTGGAGGGTTTTCATTACATTTGTTTTAAATTATTATGGAAACCTTCAAGTCATATATGAAAATTGAATAGTATACTGAACTTCCAATTCATGATCAATCCTGTTTCATCTGTTACCCTCTCCCCCACTGTAGTATTTGAAAGCAAATCTGAAATGTAACATTCCATCTGTTATCTTGTTCATGTTTATAAAACACAATGACACCTTTTAAAACATAAAGCCGTTATCAGTGTGATTAGCACCTCATTTTACCCTCTACTATCCAGTCAGCATTTACATTTTCGTAGTTGTCTTTCTCCTCTTCCCCGGTTTGTCCAAATCAGTATCCAAACAAACTACACACGTTCCATTTGGTTGATGTCTGTTAGATCTCTCTTAATCTTTTCCCCTCTGTGTCTATTTTGTTCCCCGTATTTTACTTGAAGAACAAGTCATTTGTACGGTTCACGTTTTCTACATCCAGGATTTTGCTTTTTCCATCTCCTTTAATAAGCAGATATTTAGACCTGCGGCCTTGTTCAGGTCAGGTTCTATTTTTTGGCAAGCGAGCTTAATGGGGGATTACTGTGTTTTTCACATTGTATCACGCCAGGAGCTAGAGAGCATCTTGCCTCTTTGTGGACCTTTTAGCATCATAGGGTAACAGTTGACCAGGGAATGCCAGCAAATACATACAAAAGAAATGAGACACTATCACCTTTTGGCAACCTCTAATGAAATAATGGATTCTGGCAATGATCACTAGTGGCTGTTAACATCAGAAAGAGAGACAGCTAGACAATGCGTGCTGCCTAATGGGGTGCTTCCATCAGACAGCACAGGTTTGTCTTATCAAGTATTCTTGGAGTAATGGGGTTGGTGTGTATAGATGAAACATGATTGCCTATGAGTTAACAATTGTTGAAGTTCGATGATGGGTGTGTGGCATTGCATTATGCTAATTTCTACTTCTATATGTGTCTGAAGTTTTTCAGAATAAAACTTCTTTTAAAAAGATTGATTAGTTGGTGAGTTTAGATCAACCTGATCCATCCATTGCAGTTCCCTGTTAGCCTTTTCACTAAGTGGTTCTCAAATCTGACTCCATGTTAGGATCACAGGAGAAGGCTTTTTATTTTTTTTTATTTTTTATTTTTTAATAAACATGTCTCACTTGCAGAATTTCCTATCTAAATGTTCTGGGATGAAGCCCAATTATTGATGTGGTTTTTTGTTTTGTTTGGGACTACAGGTGTATGCCACCATGCCCGGCTAATTTTTTATAGACACAGAGTCTTGCTGTGTTTCCCAGGCTGGTCTTGAACTCCTGGCCTCAAGCTACCCTGCCAAAATGCTGAGTTTACAAGCATGAGCCACCATACCTTCACTGATATGTTTTAAAAGCTCTCCAGGTCATTCTAATATGCCCCCGGGGTTATGTACTACTGATCTAAATCCATTATTAGTTAGGGATGACAAAGTGATTATATTCTATTATTCCTTCTGCAGTTCATTTGCCTTTACAAATGTTAACTTTCTGCATTCTATTTATTCTTACCTATCTTGCAAATCAATAAAGAAGCCTCTGCAAATAAAGCTCCTTTATTATCAGAGGAAGACTTGATCTTGGAGGTGAAAATGTAGAGTAACACATGGAAGGGATATTAGCAATAACCTCAAGGCTATGCTTAAGGTAGAGATGCACCACCTTATGTATGACGGTTGGGGGCAGGAAATATGGGGAGAAGCTGTTTCCCAAAATGGAAAGGAAGACTAGATGGCGTGTAGAGAAGCATGTTTGGGCGTATGACACATTTCCAAAAAAAAAAAAAAATCAGCGTTAAGTAAATATAAATTTTTAAAAAATTAAATAAAATGCCACTTATTAAAACATAATCCAGAGATTTAAAAGAAAAGTTAATCACCCATGCAGCCCCCACCCCATCACTTTAATCACCCCTGAAATAACCCATATTAACAGGATGGTGTGTATCCTCTCCCACATCAGACTTCCTCTGTCTTACATAAATGTAGGGGTTTGGGGTATTGTTATAAAAATGACATCATGCCATAGCCGTCTGTAACTTTGTCATCCCTCCATGACAGTAGTTACAGAAGACTTTATTAGCTGCAGAATAAATAGTTGATAGAATAAACAATAGTACAAATGTACAATAAAATATTCAGCCATTTTCCTATTGACATATTTAGATTGCTTCCATATTTTAGCCAACTTGAGACCACCACAATATGCGTCATTGTACATAGATCTTTATTATTTGGGTAGATTCTGAAAAATGGGAATTGCTGGGTGAAAGCATATAATTATCAACAGCATCATTATTACTGGTAATATATATTGCCAAATTATTCTCCCAAAGCATAATCGCAATTCATAACTTTGTCACCATTAGTTTGTGACAGTACCCATTTACCCTCATCCTGCTTAGCACTGGCTAGCATTGCTCCATTGATACTTGCCTGCCAACTGATGTGTGGTAAATGGTCGCTTTTTTTGTTTGTTGTGAGAGTGTTCTTGTTCTGTCTTGTTCTGTCAGCCAGGCTTGAGTGCAGCAGTGAGATCACAGCTCACTGCAGCCTTAACCTTCCAGGTTCCAATGATCCTCCTGCTTCGGCCTCCTGACAAGCTGGGACTACAAGCACATGCCTCCATGTCCAGCTGATACTTGTTTTTAATTTTTTTGTAGAGACAAGGTCTCACTATGTTGCCTAGGCTGGTCTCAAACTCCTGGGCTCAAGCCATCCACCCACCGCTGCCTCCCAAAATGCTGGGATTACAGGCATGAGCTACTGCACCCAGCCTCTTTTTTCTTTATTTTGCATTCCACTTAACTAACTGAAGACTGAACCCTTATCTTTTATTTATTACTGTTAATTTTTTAAATTGATACACGATAGTTGTTTGAACCTTTTTCATGCTTATAGGCCATTTGGATTTCTTCTGTGATTCATATATATGTGTGTGTGTGTGTGTGCGCGCGCATGTGTATGTGTATATATATCCTTTGCCTGGTTTTCTGTTGCACCAGTATTTTTGTATTTTGAATGCATTTGCATAAACTTTTTTTTAGTAGTATTAACCCCCTCTCATAAGGGGGTCCAAACTATTTTTTTCAGGTTTTTTTTCCTTGTCCTTTGACTTTATGAGTCTTGATATGTATAAAAGATTTTATTTAGTTAAAATGTCTGTTTTTAAAATTTCTGGATTTTATGTCTTGCCAATAAGGGCTTCCCATCTCCACAGTTAAAGGTGTAAACATTCTCCTGATTCTTTTGAACATGTTATTGGATTTTTTACATTGAAATTTCTTAACTATGTGAAATGTGTTTTTATATACAATGCAAAGTGAGCATCTTGCTTTGCTTTTTTCTGCTAGAACAGCCAATTATGTCAGTCCCATTCATTAAAGAAACCACACTTTTTACACCTTCGTTGTATACTGTATTGATTCCAATAGGTAGTTGGTTTATTTCTGAACTTTCCCTTCCCTTTTATCTCTATTTTTGTGCCAATATTATTCTGTTTTATTTATTTATTTATTTATTTATTGAGACAGAGTCTCACTCTGTCACCCAGGCTAGAGTGCAATTGCACAATCTTGACTCACTACAACTGCTGCCTCCCAGATTCAAGCGATTCTCCTGCCTCAGCCTCCTGAGTAGATGGGATTACAGGTGTGTGCCAGCATGCCCGACTAATTTTTGTATTTTTAGTAGAGACAGGGTTTCACCATCTTGGCCAGGCTGGTCTCAAACTCCTGACCTCAGGTGATCCACCCACCTCAGCCTCCCAAAGTGCTGGGATTACGGGCATGAGCCTCCGTGCCCGGCCTATTCTGTTTTAATTATGTCAGATTGCTGTAGTAAATGTTAATACCTAGAAAGGCAGGTCACTACTCACTGCGTTTTGGAATTTTCTTGCCCCTTCTCAGACATTTATTTTTTCTTCCATATGATTTTTGGATTGTTTCTGTTCCAAAATAAATCCCACTGGAAATCTGATAGAATTTGCACCAAATATATCTACATTAGCTTAGGAAAGATGAACATCTCTGTGATTTCAAGTCATCCTATCAAGGACGTAATGTGTATCTCTTATTTGTGTGAATCTTTTGGGTGCTGTTCCTTTTCTGCTAACTTTATTTCCGGTAATTTTGTTTTTGCTCTTGGAATGGGTTCCCCCCCCCATTTTTGTTTTTATCTTGTTATTGCTAAGACTGAGAAGAGTTATTGAAGCTTTTGTATCTTATATATCCAGCTGTTGGTCAAATTATCTTATAGTAGTTTTTCTTAAGCTTGTTTTCTTCCCTGACATCAATGTGGATAATCTATAATCGGTTATGTATAAATTTCAGTTCATTCTAATTTATTCTGTTTGATATACATCTTCCATCTCATAAGTATATCAGCGATGTCAGATGCACCTGGAAATAGTGAAAGGAATAGTGCTAGGAGTTGGAATAAACCTGCACATTCAACAGGTTATTGCTGATCACTTAAAATAGCAGAGTCCCAAGTCCTCGTGAGTCATGGACCATGTCACGTAGGGAGTGAGACATTTGTTCAGCATTATTGTGAAATATCAGCATGACTGGAGAGCATCATAGAGCATTACTGTTATGATTGTTTAGAGAAAGGGCTGATCATTATGGGCATCAGAGACACCATTTGGTAGGCATCATTAAATACCATCTCTTGCCCAGTATCTCAGCTAGAGTTGTTGTTGTTTAGTGTTTATTAGAAGGAATTTTATTTTATAGTTAATAAGTAGAGAGTACAGAGAGTTCCCATATATTCTCTTATCTCTCACCCCTCAGTTTCCCTTGTATTAACATCTTGCATTAATGTGGTACATGTTCAGAAGCTTAAGGGCTCATGAAAAAAAAAAAAGAAAAATGTGCTACATGTTACAGTTGATGAGCCAATATTGATACACTGTCAACTAAAGTTTACATTGAACTCATTCACTCTAGTGTTGTTCAGTCTGTATACAATTGACCAGTGTATAATGATGTATGTCTGTCTTACTATATCATACAGAATCGTTTCACTGCCCTAAACATCCCCTGTGCTCCACTTGTTCATTCTTCCTTCCCTCCCCCTGTATCACTAGCAAGGGCTATTCTTTTTACTGTCTCCATAGTTTTTGCCTTTTTGAGAACATCACATAGTTAAAATTCAACTATAGTTTTAAATTGCCTGGGTTTGGTTATTTTTGTTTGTTTGGGTGTGTGAACGATTATACAAGATTTGTTAACTTGTAGTTTTGCCAAGTTATTTAAAATCTTACTGTGGATATGTGTGGAATACTATGAGAGAACAAGAATCCAGACTTCTAAATAACCAAAAAGTAATAATAGTGATAAATATTACAGGAATGTGTTTTTGGTGCAGTGATATGAAATAATCCGCAGATGATCTTTCTGTTGCAGGGTGGAAGATGTCTATGGATGTGACATTTCTGGGGACGGGTGCAGCATATCCATCTCCAACCCGGGGTGCCTCTGCTGTGGTCCTTCGGTGTGAAGGCGAGTGCTGGCTCTTTGACTGTGGGGAGGGAACACAGACACAGCTTATGAAAAGCCAACTTAAAGCAGGTTAGTGTGCCTTCAGCTATCTCATTAAGATTTTTTTGTTGTTCTGCTTCATTTTCTTGGCTCTCCTTGGACATTTTGTTCGGAAACAGCCCTGATGGTTGCATCCCACTTCAATGCTAGATCCTGGTGAGACTTGGAAGGCCAAGTCCACTGGACTTCATTTACTTATTTACTTGCTTTTCATTTATCCTGTGGATGTTGAGAGCAAGGGTTCATGTAGGCTCGGGGTTTGGGAAATGTCATGGGATATACCAGGCATATTAGATGGACACTACTTTAGCAAGGAAGCAGTGTACATACTTACTTCTACCAGGAGATAGTTTTCCTGAGAGGATGCAAAGGGTAGGAAATGTTTGGAGGAGGGAGATGCTCTTTTCCTCTTGACATTATCAGGGCAAACTTCTCAGAGAAGTTGACTTGTCGGTTGTCAGAGGAGGAGGAGGAATTTCAGGGCTGAGGAGAAGAGGGGCATTTCAGCCAGAGGGAATGGAGTGAGCAGAGGCCAGCACCCGGGAGACAGAGCAGTCCAATGGTGAAAAGCTTCAGCTCAGAGTCAGGCAGACCTGGGTTCTAGTCCTGGCTGTGTGTTGGGCTTGTGACCTTAGCAGACCAGCAAACTTCGACTTTACTTTCCCCATCTTGCAAATGGGGACAAAAAGTCTACTTAGAAAGGGTGTTATGAGAATTACATGTAATCACTTATTCTCTGTGTGGGTGCCTCTTTGTCAGTTAAATCTTAGCTCAAATGCCATCTTCTCAGAGGCTTTACCAGATCCTCCTGTATTAAATAGTTCCTCTCTCACCCCAGTCATTTCTTTACTTTGTCCTATTTTTATTGACTTCTTTGCATTATCAGTATCTGAAATTATGTTATTTAGTTTGTTTCTGTGTTCTTTATCTCCCTATACTGTAAAGTAGGTTCCATGATCATTTATATACCTAGTAGGTGCCTAGCTATATCTCTTCAGCTAGGCATCTTACTAAGTATGTAAATGATTATGGAACTTACTTTACTTTAGTGAATGGATAAGACGTTTAGCAACTTAGCATAGTGCCTCTCACTTATTAGGTCTTGATAAATAGTATTGAAATCATTATTCCTACAACTCATCACAGTACCTGGCACTTGGTGACTAAAGATACTTCTAGTGTTCAAGGATCTCTTGGTCTAGTGATGGAAACTGACATGCAAACGGACAGTAATCAATCATGTAATCTGATAAGTAGAATAATGGAGGTATTTTCTAAGTACTTTGGAACACAAAGGAGGGGGAAGTAACTAACCATTCATTAAGAGAAGGCATCCCAGAGATTGTTAACAGTTGAGCTGGGATCCAAGAGATAAATAGAAGTTTTTCTGAGAGAGAAGTAGAGATGGACATTGAGGGAACAGACAACAAAGTGAGCAACAAGTAAGGAAGTTTCCAGGAAACTGGAAACTTGGGGAGCATTGAGTAGTTGGCTAGGTTAGATGGAACTAAGAATGCTGAAAAGGTGAGGGCTGACTGTGAAGTCCTCTGTAGCATAGTAAGATATTTAGACTTTATTATTTTACTGGGAAAAAGGAACCATTCGTGTTTTTAAGGGGGGAATAATGCGATCTTGTTTGTGTTTTAGGACAGAATTTTCTGATGGCACATGTATTGAGAGAGAGAGAATAGCGTCAGGGAGACCAGTTCCAAGGCAGTTGCAATTCACTTGTATTAATTTATTTTCATACTGCTATGAAGAAATACCAAAGACTGGGTAATTTATTAAAACAACAAAAAAAGAGGTTTAATGGACTCGCAATTCCACATGACTGGGGAGGCCTCACAATCATGGTGGAAAGCGAAGGCAGAGCAAAGCCATGTCTTACATGGTGGAAGGCAAGAGAGCATGTGCAGGGGAACCACCCTTTATCAACTCATCAGATCTCATGAGACTTATTCACTATCATGAGAACAGCATGAGAGAACCTGCCCGCCATGATTCAATTACTTCCCACCAGGTCCCTCCCATGACATGTGGGGATTATGGGAGCTACAATTCAAAGTGAGATTTGGGTGGGACATAGGTAAACCATATCATTCCACCCCTGACCCCTCTAAAACCTTATGTCCTCACATTTCAAAACCAATCATGCCTTCCCAATAGTCCCCCAAAGTCTTAACTCATTTCAGCATTACTTCAAAAGTCCACAGTCCAAAGTCTCATCTAAAACAAGGCAAATCCCTTCTACCTGTGAACCCGTAAAATCAAAAGAAAGTTAGTTACTTCTTAGATACAGTGGGGGTACAGGCATTGGGTAAATATACCCATTCAAAATGGGAGAAATTGGCCAAAACAAAGGGGCTACAGGCCCCATGCAAGTCCAAAATCCAATAGGACAGTCAAATCTTAAAGCTCTGAAATGATCTCCTTTGACTCCATGTCTCACATCCAGGGCATGCTGATGCAAGGGGTAGATTCCCATTATATTGGGCAGTTCCACTCCTGTGGCTTTACAGGGTGCAGCCCACTTCCCGGCTGTTTTCATGGGTTGGTGTTGAGGGTCTACAGCTTTTCCATGCACACAGTGCAAGCTGTCAATATATCTGCTGTTCTGGGTTCTGAAGGATGGTAGCCCTCTTCTCACAGCTCTACTAAGCAGTGTCCCAGTGGCTATGTGTGGGGTCTCACACCCCATATTTCCTTTCCACACTGCCCTAGTAGAGGTTCTTCATGAGGGCTCCACCCCTGCAGAAGACTTCTGCCTGGACATCCAGGTTTTTCCATACATCCTCTGAAATCTAGAAGGAGGTTCCCAAACCTCAATTCTTGACATCTGTGCTTCCACTGGCCCAACACCACATCTAAGCTGCCAAGGCTTGGGGTTTGCACTCTCTGAAGCAACAGCCTGAGCTATACCTTGGCCCCTTTAAGCCACACTGGTACGCAGAGCACCAAGTCCTGAGACTGCACAAAGCAGCAAGGCCCTGGGCCCAGGCCAGGAAACCATTTTTCCTTCTAGGCATCTGGGCATGTGATGGGAGGGGCTGCTGGGAAGATCTCTGACATGCCCTGGCAACATTTTCCCCATTGTCTTGGTGATTAACATTTGGCTCCTCATTACTTACACAAATTTCTGCAGCCAGCTTGATTTTCTCCTCAGAAAATGGGATTTTCTTTTCTATCACATCGTCAGGATGCAAATTCTCTGAACTTTTATGCTCTGCTTCCCTTTAAACATAAGTTCCAATTCATATCTTTGTGAATACATAAAAGTGAATGCTTTTAAGAGCACCCAAGTCACTTCTTGAATGCTTTGCTGCTTAGAAATTTCTTCTGCCAGATACCCTAAATCATCTCTCTCAAGTTCAAAGTTCCACAGATCTCTAGGGCAGTGGCACAATGCTGCCCTCTTTGCTAAAGCATAGCAAGAATCATCTTTGCTTCAGTTCCCAATGAGTTCCTCATCTCCATCTGAGACCACCTCAGTCTGGGCTTTTTGGTCAAAACCATTCAACAGGAAATTCCAAACTTCCACGTCTTCCTGTCTTCTAAGCCCTCCCAAGTCTCTAGGAAGTTCTAAACCTTCCCACATTTTCCTGTCTCCTTCTGAGCACTCCAAACTGTTCCAACCTCTGCCTGCTACCCAGTTCCAAAGTCATTTCCACATTTCCAGGTATCCTTATAGCATTATCCCACTCTACCAATACCAATTTACTGTATCAGGCCATTTTCATACTGCTATGAAGAAATACCCAAGACTAATTTATTAATTAAAAAAAGAGGTTTAATGGACTCACAATTCCACATAGCTGGGGAGGCCTCACAATCATGGTGGAAGGCAAAGGCAGAGCAAAGGTATGTCTTACATGGTGGCAGGCAAGCAAGCATGTGTAGGGGAACTGCGCTTTATCAAACCATCAGACCTCATGAGACTGATTCACTGTTGTGAGAACAGCATGAGAAAACCTGCCCCCATGATTCATTTGCTTCCCACCAGGTCCCTCCCATGATGTGGGGGACTATGGGAGCTACAATTCAAGATGAGATTTGGGTGGGGACACAGCCAAACCATATCATCACTGTGTGTGTGTGTGTGTGTGTGTGTGTGTGAGAGAGAGAGAGAGAGAGAGAAGGAGGATGTTGAAGTATAGAGATGGAGATGAGAGATTCAATTTAAGAGATATTTGTAGAGCCAAGAGGAGGTGGTCACTGAATGTCTAGTGTGTGAGGAAGTGAAGAATTAATACAAGTTACTGATGGTGATGTCCTGGACTTAGAGAAGAAGTCAGGAAAAGAGTTGTAAGAGGAAGGAGCTAATGCATATTGTTTGGGACATGTGGCCTTCAGGTATGTACAGTTGAACCCTAATTATATACTGTCTTGTGTTGAAACTTTGAGATAAGTCAGGTGCTATTCTTTGCTTTACTTGGCTTGTACAGAGATTCCTTTCATGAGAGCCTTCATGAGAGCCCTCCGGGCAGGCATAGGTCAGAGTAGAGACTTGATAACATTTCAGACAGTAGGAGTTGAGGTGGCAAGGTGTACTAAAATAGAAACAAGAAATTGTTAAGAGTGAGTACCAGAGGTTTGGCTGTGGGAATACATCTTTTTATTTAATACGCGTGTTAGTTATCTGATATTATCTAATAATGCATAACATTATAAATTTAATGGCTTTTTTGCATTTATTATCTCCTAGTTACTATGGGTTAGGGAGTTCGGGCCTGGCTTAGCTAGGTTTTCTGCCTCAGGGTCTCAGTAGACTGCAGTCTAGGTGTTGGCTGGGGTTACAATTTCATCAGAGGCCCAGCTGGGGAAGATTTCTCAGCTCTTTCAGGTTGTTGGCAGAACCCATACAGTGGTAGGACAGTCTGCCCTGAGCTCTTTGAGTTCTCTGCATTGTGGGTTTCTGCTTCATGGTAGCTTACTTACTTCTTCATAGCCAGCATGGGAGAAGGAGACTCTAGAGTAAGTCTGCTAGCAAGATGGAGTCTTATGTCCCATAATGTAATCACATTGCATTCTTGTGCCATATTCTACTGGTTAGAAGCAAGTCACAAGTCCTGGCCACACTGAAGGAGAGGAGATTATAGGATGTGAACACCAAGGGGTAGGGGCCACAGGGACCACCTAAAATATCCACCACAATTTTACAGTTCCTTTATATATGATTTTTTTTTTTTTTGAGACAGAGTCTTGCTCTGTCACCTAGGCTGGAGTGTAGTGGTGCAATCTTGGCTCACTACAACCTCTGCCTCCTGGGTTCAAGTGATTCTTATGCCTCAGCCTCCTGAGTAGCTGAGATTATAGGCACACACCACCACACCTGGCTTTTTTTTTTTTTTGTATTTTTAGTAGAGATGGGGTTTTGCCATGTTGCCCAGGCTGATGTCAAATTCCTGAGCTCAGGCCATCCGCCCACCTTGTCCTCCCAAAGTGCTAGGATTCAGGTGTGAGCCACTGCGCCCAGTCTATATAGGATTTAAATAAACAGTTGGAGTTGGGCACAGTGGCTCATGCCTGTAATCTCAGCACTTCAGGAGGCCAAGGCAGGAAGATCACTTGAGGCCAGGAGTTTGAGATCAACCTGGGCAACATAAAGAGACTCTGTCTCTACAAGAAATTAAAAAGCCGGGTGTGGTGGTTTGCACCTGTGGTCCCAGCAGGAGGCTGAGGCGGGAGGATCCTTTGAGCCCAGAAGGTCAAAGCTGCAATGAGCCGTGATTGAGCCACTGCACTCCAGCCTGGTGACAGAGCAAGATCCTGTCTCAACAAATAAGTAAATAAGCATTAATGCATGCATTCATACATATAGTTGGTAAATCTAATCCTGGCCAGAAAAACCCAAACAAACAAACAAACAAACAAAAAACCCCAAAAGCCCAAAGGAGCCTTTAGTTTACTACATTTCTATAGGCTTAGAAAAAAAATTTCTGAGGCCAAGAGTGGTGGCCCACATCTGTAATCCCAGCACTTTGGGAGGCCAAAGCAGGTGGATCATGAGCGAGGTCAGGAGTTTGAGACCAGCCTGGCCAACAAGGTGAAACCACATCTCTACTGAAAATATAAAAATTGGCAGGGTGTGGTGGCAGGTGCCTGTAATCCCAGCTACTTGGGAGGCTGAGGCAGGAGAATTGCTTGAACCTGGGAGGCGGAAGCTGTGGTGAGCCGAGATCACGCCACTGCACTCCAGCCTGGGCAACAGAGCGAGACTCCATCTCAAAAGAAAAAAAAAGAAAAATTTCTGGCCTTAGAGAGGAAGGTGAGATAGTAATCCCAGAGCATTAACTGTGACTCTCTAGTACTTCATTCAGATGCCCCCAGTCTCAAACTGGAATGAAGCACCCTCAGTACATACTAATTTCTCTCCATAACCTATTATGGACCTATCATTAGGTCCTATCATTAGGTCCATAATAGGTTGAAACCCTTTCAGCTTGTACTACCTCCAGGGATAATAAGTTTTGAATACAATTGCAGTTTTGTTACATGGATATATTACATAGTGGTGAAGTCTGGGATTTAGTGTACCCATCACCAAATAATGTACATTGCACCCATCAGGTAACTAATCATCCCTCATCCTCCAGCCACCCTTCCACTCCTCCAAGTCTTCCATGTATATTATTCTATACCCTATACTCATGTGTACATATGAAATGATTATTAAAAGTATTATAGGCCAGGCGCGGTGGCTCACGCCTGTAATCCTAGCACTTTGGGAGGCCAAGGTAAGCGTATATCACCTGAGGTCAGGAGTTTGAGGTGACCTCCTCGAACATGGTGAAACACCGTCTCTACTAAAAATACAAAAATTAGCCGGGCATGGTGGCGGACGCCTGTAATCCCAGCTACTCAGGAGGCTGAGGCAGGAGAATCACCAGAGCCTGGGAGTTGGAGGTTGCAGTGAGTAGAGATCGAGCCACTGCACTCCTGCCTGGGTGACAGAGCAAGACTCTGTCTCAAAAAAAAAAAAAAAGAAAAGAAAAGAAAAAAAGAAAAAGTACTGTAAGAGCATGATTTTTTAAATGATATAAAAAGTATAAATGCTTATTGTAAAAACTCAAAGAAAACAGAAAAGTGTAAATAAGAAAAGTCCGAGTCCCCCCCATAGGTGAATTTCCTATGTATATAGATATGGTGACAGTACGGAGTGTGTGTGTGAGTGTGTGTATAGTTCTGCATACATAGAATTATACTGCTCTTGGCATAACCTGCTTTTTTTTTCAACTGAACAATGTATACAAACCATATATTGCAGCTTTTCCAAATCCAGTAAATATACCTATGTCTTCATTTTTAGAGAATGTTCAGTATTCCTCTGTGGATGACATATTCCCCCATAACTTCCTTGTTTCCAAGGGAAAGGGAACTCAGGCATTTTTGTGTCTTCATTTGAGAGCTTCCTCATACCTTTGATAATTGTGGTTGCCATTCCTTCTCCCTTTGAAATCAGGTTTCTTGAAAAATGAAGTGTTGTCTCCCTGAAACTATGATAACTGTAAGAAGCAGTTTTTTACTTAATTTGCCTCACTTCGGGTTCACAGGTTGTTTTGGTGTTCAGTTTGGCTTTGTTTTAGAGTAGATAGGGAAGGGCCCAGAAAGTCAGATGCTGGCAGTTTTTAGGCCACTGGGGGATCTGGACTCAGTGACTGCTGTAGTTCTTTTTTTTTTTTTTTGAGATGGAGTTTAGCTCTTATTGCCTAGGCTGGAGTGCAATGGCGTGATCTCGGCTCACCACAACCTCCACCTCCTGGGTTCAAGCGATTCTCCTGCCTCAGCCACCCAAGTAGCTGGGATTACAGGCATGCGCCATCACACCCAGCTAATTGTGTATTTTTGGTAGAGACAGGGTTTCTCCATGTTGATCAGGCTGATCCGCGTGATCAAACTCCCGACCTCAGGTGATCCGCCCAGCTTGGCCTCCCAAAGTGTGATTACAGGCATGAGCCACTGCGCCTGGCCCTATTGCTGTAGTTATTTTGTCTGCAGAGTCCTCAGGTCACGCATGGAGGTGGCTTGGCAATCTGGACAGGGAGACGGGGGAAATGAGGGATTCAGGCAGTAAAAAAAAAAACAGCAAAAAGGAGCATATTGAGGAAACTTCTAGCGAGCCTCCTGGGGATTCACAAGTTCCACAATCAGCCTGTGCCAATCTATTGTTCTCTCTGTTGCTGGGGCCTGAGCTTGATGTTGTAATTCTGGGAAGACTTCCTTGGAGAACACTTGATATTATGGAACAAATCACATTATAGTAAACTATTCCTGTTCTTTTATGGTATCAGTAAACTGTTTCTGTACTTTTATAGCATCAAATATTTAAAATAGGTGGGCCTTGAGCAAAGGACCAGAAGCCTCTTTTGTACTAGAAATGTGTAAATTGTGGTTGTTACTTTTGAAATGCCATGTGGTGCATCTCAGAAAATGCTGATGTGGCATCCTGCCACATTCCAGCAATAAATTCGGTTTACCATTGGCTAAACCAAGTTATAACCTAAGCCCATATGCACTGAAAAAACTGTTGTGTTAGTTCAGACTGAAAGGAAGAATGGACCCAAGTACCCTTACATAATCGGCCCTCCTGCATTCTGGCATCTATTGCCCATCTTCCTTCTCAGTTCCTCACCTTGTTCCTCTCCTACCTCCATTCTCCCTCCTCCTTTTCCCCTCCCTTCCTCACCCTCTTTCCTTTTTCTCCATCTTCTTCAACCTCACCCAGACAAGCAGGCTGTGACCTGATTGGTTAATCCCTGTCCAGCATAGGGAGTCCTTAAAAGGCAATTTTGGGTTCAGGCACTGGTCCAGTCAGTTGGAGCCAGTGGAACATTTTGTTTTCCTGGAATACATGTTTGCTTTTCTCAGAGGGAGCAGTAGGGAGCAATGTAATTGCTAGATGTTTTTGATACTTGAGGCCTATCTATTTAATAGTTAAGTGAATTATTTTGGTGCACTTATATATTTTACTTGTTTTTTTATGTGGCAGAAAATGTATGAAAATACTCTGAGAGCTGTAAAACTATGTAATATGAAGATGTTTTATGAAAAATGTTATATCTTACTGAAACCATCTAGCGGGTCTAGGCACAGTAATCCCAGCACTTTGGGAGGCCAAGATGGGAGAATTGCTTAAGGCCAGGAGTTTGAGACCAGCCTGGGCAATGTAGCAAGACCCCATCTCTACAAAATTAAAAAAAAAGAAAAAGCCAGACATAGTGGTAGGCTCCTGTAGTCCTAGCTGCTTGGGAGGCTGAGGCAGTAGGATCACTTGAGCCCAGGAGGTCAAGCTGCAGTGAGCTATGATCACACCACTACACTCCAGCCTGGATGACAGAGCAAGACCTGTCTCTTTAAAAAAAACTATTAAAAACAAACAAACACACAAACAAAAAACCATCTGATGAAATAAAGCCTGTCTTTCTTGTTTTTGGAATCATGTAGCAAAATGTAAATGAATAAGTTTATGATGGTAAGTAGAACTTTTAAATTCAATTTACTATTTTTAATGGAAAGTGTTAGGCTTGTTTCAAATAGCTTTGTATGGGTTTTTAGTTAATGAAAAATTTCCAAATGTATTTCTCTATCTCCATCAAAAGGGAGAATTACCAAGATCTTCATCACACATCTTCATGGAGACCATTTCTTTGGCCTTCCTGGGCTCCTCTGCACAATCAGCCTGCAGAGTGGCTCCATGGTGTCCAAACAGCCTATTGAAATCTATGGCCCTGTAGGGCTTCGGGACTTTATCTGGCGAACCATGGAACTCTCTCACACGGAGCTGGTCTTCCGTTATGTGGTTCATGAACTGGTTCCTACAGCGGATCAATGTCCTGCAGAAGAATTAAAAGAATTTGCACATGTGAATAGAGCAGGCAGTCCTCCCAAAGAGGAACAAGGAAGAACTATCCTATTAGACTCAGAAGAAAACTCGTACCTTCTGTTTGATGATGAACAGTTTGTTGTAAAAGCATTTCGCCTCTTTCACAGAATTCCCTCATTTGGGTTTTCAGTCGTGGAAAAGAAACGCCCAGGTAAACTCAATGCACAGAAACTAAAAGACCTTGGTAAGTGTCTTTTTTTTGTTTTTATGCTTTTCCCCCACTTCTTATCAATAGGGCTCCTGTTAACTGAAGCTATAAGAAGTGTCATAGTAAGGCCAGGAGTGGTGGCTCATGCCTGTAATCCTAGCACTTTGGGAAGCCGAGGCGGGCGGATCACTTGAGTTCAGGAGTTCAAGACCAGCCTTGGCAACATGACGAAACCCCATCTCTACTAAAAATACAAAAATTAACTGGGCGTGGTGGCATGCGCCTGTAGTCCCAGCTACTTGGGGGGCTGAAGCAGGAGGATCACTTGAACCCGGGAGGTCAAGGCTGCAGTGAGCCAAGATGGAGCTACTATACTCCAGCTTGGGTGACAAAGTGAGACTCTGTCTCAAAAAAAAAAAAAAAGTGTCATAGTAAACTTCCACTCCTCTATCCCAGGCCTAAAACTGACATTTTCTCCACTTAGTCCCTTTGCCCAAAGTTTGCTTATTAAGGAAAATCCATGGGACCAAAAAATGCTATTTAGAACAAAAGCCAAGTATACATTTGAATCCTGTCTTCAGCTTCCTGGATCCACATTCTTTCTTATACTATCTTGGTTGGCAAGGTGATTTGGGTGATAGTGGTGGTGGCTTTAGGTCCAGGCTTTATTTTTTCACGTCTTCCCTTTGATATGTGTTTTTGATGACATCTTTGGTCTGAGAATTTTTGCCATTGATCTTAACCTTATAACTGCAACCATGTGCTTTCAGAGTTTCCTTCTCTATCTACTTTGCTTACTAATTTAACCTTCATTAAATTAATTTGGTATTCAAAACCCTGTGCCTCAACCAGTTTGATATACCAGGGTTCATTACAGTGGAAAGCAAGCATGCAGAGGTGGGCTTGGGGCCCATCTAAGTCTTCACACCTCCTCCATGCTAAGCCAGTATGCATGAGGGGATCTTCAGCACCTCTTGCGAGGTTGAGTCCAGGTACATTATATCTCCAGTGTCACTGCCTTCATGGGCATGGTGTGGCAATGCCTGTAAAAAGCACGGTGGCATTTTGTGTGTGCTTGTTTTTTTATTTATGCGATCTCTTCCTCAACTAAAACAAAATGCTAGATAATGAGGAAAAGTGACTTAGGTTAATGGTATTTTTATTACCTGAAAGCCTGTAGAAATACTATTATATTTGGAAACTTTAAACATGATCTGTGTTGGAATTGGTGGTCATGTTATACTAGTTTGTAAGTATTGTCCATAGTGATGATCAGGTCTTATTTTAAATTAGTATGAGATTTAAGCCCACTTTGATTAAGTGTGGAACTGCCCATCTACCAAGAAGATTAATAATGTACAATTGCCTGAAAAAATGCTCCTTGATCTTGTAATACAAGCAATCTTCACTAACAATTTTTTTATTAAGTTACTTTTAGGTACTTGTTTTGATGAGGTGTTGATTATATCGTGTTTTTGTTTGTTTGTTTGTTTGTTTGTTTTTGAGGCAGTCTTACTCTGTTGTCCAGGCTGGAGTGCAGTGGTGTGATCTCAGCTCGCTCACTGCAACTTCTGCCCCCTGGGTTAAAGCAATTCTCGTGCCTTGGCCTCCCATGTAGCTGGGACTACAGGTGTGCACCACTACGCCTGGCTAATTTTTTGTATTTTTAGTAGAAGCAAGGTCTCGCCATGTGGCCAGGCTGGTCTCGAACTCCCGAGCTCAAGTGATCTGCCTGCCTTGGCCTCACAAAGTGCTAGGATTACAGGCATGAGCCACTGCGCCCAGCCTGATTATATCATTATTTAAATGCACTCTCAAATTTTACCCAAAAGTGAGCTTATTAAATAAAGCACTCTCAAAAACTGTTGTTTCCTTGCACGACAGAGAATCAAGGATGTTATAGTGACTACAATAAGGTCCTAGTGATACTTAGGAGACTAAAACTTGTCTGACATGTATGCATGGGAAATGTTTTAAGTACTAAGGCATTGCTAATATCAATCAACACTGAAACTTTAAAAATGTATAAATAATTCCAGTTTTCCACAAGTAGTAAAACATTTATAACAATTATGGATGCCTTTTCCATTAGCTATTTGCAATGCTGTTAAAATAGACTCTTGAAAAGTCATAAATTCCATTCCTATAATGTAATGTTATCTGCCTTCATCATTAGGTGTTCCACCAGGTCCTGCCTATGGGAAGCTGAAAAATGGAATTTCTGTTGTTCTGGAAAATGGAGTTACAATTTCTCCCCAAGATGTCTTAAAAAAGCCTATTGTTGGAAGAAAAATCTGCATATTGGGTGACTGCTCTGGGGTTGTGGGTGATGGAGGAGTAAAGCTGTGTTTTGAAGCAGACCTGTTGATCCACGAAGCGACCCTGGATGATGCCCAGATGGACAAAGCAAAGGAGCACGGCCACAGCACACCACAGATGGCAGCCACATTTGCAAAGTTGTGCCGTGCAAAGAGGCTGGTTCTGACTCACTTCAGTCAGAGGTACAAACCAGTTGCCTTGGCCAGAGAAGGAGAAACAGATGGCATTGCAGAACTAAAAAAGCAAGCTGAATCAGTGTTAGATCTCCAAGAAGTGACTCTAGCAGAAGATTTTATGGTGATAAGCATTCCAATCAAGAAATGAAACCAGTGTTCCTGGGTGCATACTGACATGTCTGTGAATATGTTACTGAACCTACGGTCCAGTTTTTTATTTCTTGTTTTAGTCTGAGATTATTTGGGCCTTAATAATCCTAAAAAGAATGGAGCTGCATTGATGAATTGGCTCAGTATTTAAAGGGAGCAAGCTTTTTGATAGTAAATCTTTTTAAGAGAAAAAAACCCCCAGCATCCTTTTTAAAGTCCAGATTTGACAAAATGATAGACTATTCAGGTATACGTCTCATTTTGTGCTGCTACCACAGATAGCCAATATTCCATGCAGTCCTGGCTTTAGCTTCTGCCCAGCTTTATTGCTGCTATTGGCAAAGAGCACAGGACTCAGCCCTCGTGGCTACAAATGGTATTTTGGCAGTTTGTATTGAATCTGTTTGTGTTATTAACAGAATAAGGAGAAATGTCATGAAACGCTGGATACGCAGGATTGACGATAGCATGACCATAGCTTTGCTGGAATACTGAATGCAGGGTTTGGCTAGGTGTTTATTTTCACATTTTATTGAACTTTCTGTTTGACTCTTAACCCATAGTTCTCAGCTTGGGTGACACTGCTCCTCTGGAAGCAGGTTTGAAATTATGGGGATGTTTTCTTGTCACAGTGACTGAGTATGGTGGGGGTGGGTGGTGGTGGTGGTGGTGGTGGTGGTGGTAGTGGTGGTAATGGTGGTACTACTGCTACTGGTATTTAGTCAGCAGGGATCAGGGATGCTAGATGTCCTGCAAAGTTTTGGTCAGTAATGTACAATAAAGAATCATCTCACCCCGAAATGCAAATTGCAGACCCATTGAGATACGCAGCAAGTTAAAGTTTATACTCTTGATGTGAATATAGTTTACCAAAATTAGTGACATAATGAGTCAAATTACTAGGTAAGTCAAATCCAAAAGAGTGAATATGTTAGAATTGCAATGTCATACCAAATAACATTCAAAAGAAATGAGCCATCAAGTGAAGCTTATGAACCTGGAGGTAAAAAATGCTTGTCTATTAAACTAAGGTTTCATTTATGTGTCCCTATTAATAAACATTATTTGCCCAACAATGTTTCTTAAAACATGCTCCATGGCTAGTCTTGAGTGCTGATTCACTCAAAGGGGCTCCTCAGTCAAATCAGTTCGGGAAACACTTTATTGCTGTCTGTCCTTCTAGGAGTGGTGTAGTGCCCATCAACATATTAAAAACAGTATTGCTTCAAATGATCATAAACCAGTGTTGGATGCCAGAAAGACCTGATCCTACAGTCCCGTTCTGTGACTTATGGTGGTACCTCTGTGTGGTCTGGAGCAGGTAACTCACTCTCCGAGTTTCTTCAGCTTGTTCATTTCAAAAATGGGAAAAACAGTAAGACCCATGTCATAGATTGTTAAACAAGACAACATATATAAGGGGCATAGCACATTGCTTAAATGTGTTGAGAAATCCTGCAGTACAGAGGCCTGTCAGCTCTATTGAACCCCTTTCTCAGTCCTATTTCACCAGGTACTACCAATTAACATCTCAGGAACCTGGAGAGCTTTACAGCACACATATTTAGAAACACTGTTGTAGTACTTACTGTTTGATTCCTCTGGGTTCTGGGGCTTCTCTGGCCAAAATTTTTGACTCCTGGCTAGTTGTGGAGACTCCAAAGTGGTGATGATCGGCTGGGGGCAGTGGTTCGTGCCTGTAATCCCAGCACTCGGAGGCAGGCGGATTGCTTGAGCCCAGGAGTTGCAGACCAGCCTGCGCAAATGATGAAACCCCATCATTACAAAAAATACAAAACTTAGCCAGGCATGGTGGTGTGCCTGTGGTCCCAGCTACTCAGGAGGCCAAGGTGGGAGCCTGGGGAGGTTGAGGCTGCAGTAAGCCATGATCGTGCTGTCGCAGTAAGCCATGATCATGCTATCGTACTCCAGCCTGAGCAACAGAGCAAGACCCTCTCTCAAAAAAGAAAAGAAAAGAAAAAAGCAATGATCAAGATAGGTCTGGTTACTTAAGATATGATCATCCTGATGTAGTCTCTGGAATGGTCTGTCTTACTGTAGACTCTGCCCCCAGAAAATGCCAAATTTTGATCATGCATAGAGCATGTCATGGTTTCTAAATTCAATTCAAATAAGCATTAGACATTTAATATGTACCCTAACTTGTGCAAGAGGCTAGGACTAGAATGGCTCTAGGACTAGAATGGCTTAGATGAGTGTATCTAATGCACGAAGCCCCTGAAGATAGAGATTATGTCTTAGTCACCGCCACATCCTTAGAAATGCCTACCTAGAGCTGAGTGCAGTGGTGTGTGCCTGTAGTCGCAGCTACTCAGGAGGCTGAGGTGGGCGGATCACTTGAGCCTAGGGGTTTAAGTCCGTAGCGATATGGCAAGACTCCATCTTGGCTGGGAGCAGTGGCTCACACCTGTAATCCCAACACTTAGGGAGGCCGAGGTGGATGGATTGCTTGAGGCCAGGAGTTTGAGACCAGCCTGGGCAACATGGCTAAACCCCGTCTCTACTAAAATTACAGAAATTAGCTGGGCATGGTGGTGCACATCTGTAATCCCAGCTACTCGGGAGGCGGAGGCACGAGAATTGCTTGAACCCGGGAAGTGGAGGTTGCAGTGAGCTGAGATCATGTCACTGCACTCCACCCCCTGCCAAAAAAAAAAAAAAGAAATGCCTACTTATAGTAAGTACTCAGAAATGCTTTAAGTTCAGTAATGAAACTAGCCCATTTCATTGCAGAACTTACCAGAAAGAATTTAAACCACCGGTTTGGTGGTGCCTCATTCACTGAGTACTAAATAAGTGCCAGACTTTATTGTATTGGTAGTACATAAATGAATAGACAAGTGGCAAAATTCCAGCCCTAAGCACACAGCCTAGTGAAAGAGACCAGTAGATAAAAGTAAATCTGTAGTTGCTTCACATGTTCTAATCTTGTAGCCTGGGCACTCGGATTTTGCTGTTCCTGAGCATTACTTGGTAGCTGACTTGAGCCATGCCCTTAGAATCAGGCTCTATAAATACGTATGGGCTAAGCCCTCAGAGGCCATGGGAATGTGGAAACGATATGTTGGGTCAAGTGTAGAGTATCAGTCCATGATGATAACTTTTTCTAGACCCTCTTCTGGGCTAAAATTTGTTTTCAATGATGGGGACATTCTAAGAATTTGTGGAGCTAGAATTAAGAAAGAAGTTTATATTAGACTTCTCAGAACCTGTAATCTACCCAAGGATTTGACTTTTAAGTGGGGAGGGTGACCATAATATGCATTGTGCCCCAAATTTACTTGATTACTGAATCCTCTTTTTGCCAAGGAAGATGTTGGAACTTTAGAACTTTAGAAATGCCATCCTCCATATGTCGCAAAATTATTCTACTTATATTTTTTACCTGCACAATTTATTGAGGTAATGATTTCCATGTCTACACTTAATATATTACTTCCTTTGTCCTAAACTGAGTCAATTGTGAGGAATCCATAGATACCTACTTTTTTTAGATTTTATTATTATTACTATTTTTTTTTTGAGACAGAGTCTGGCCCTGTATTTTAGATTTTAAAAATGTACACTTGCAGCCAGGCACCATGGTTCACCTGTAATCCCAGCACTTTGGGAGGCCAAGGTGGGCGGATCACTTGACGTCAGGAGTTCAAGACCAGCCTGGCCAACATGGTGAAACCCCATCTCTACAAAAATTAGCTGGGCGTGGTGGCTGGCGTCTGTAATCCCAGCTACTCTGGAGGCTGAGGCAGGAGAATCGTTTGAACCTAGGAGGGGAGGTTGTAGTGAGCCGAGATCACACCACTGCACTGCCTGGGCGAAAGAGCAAGACTGTCTTAAGAAAAAAATGCACGTTTTAATTCTCCAAAGTTGTTTACACTTTCCCAAATATACCTTAAATCAGCTCTGTTTAATACTCATGCCTCATTAATGCACTTTTAATGAACTTTGAATTATAAAAGCAGCGTATGCTTGGTACAGAATTTTTTTTTTTTTTTTTTTTGAGATGGAGTCTCGCTCTGTCGAGGCTGGAGTGCAGTGGCGCGATCTCGGCTCACTGCAACCTCTGCCTCCCAGGTTCACGCCATTCTCCTGCCTCAGCCTCCCAAGTAGCTGGGACTATAGGCGCCCACTCCCACGCCCGACTAATTTTTTATATTTTTAGTAGAGATGGGGTTTCACCGTGTTAGCCAGGATGGTCTCGATCTCCTGACCTCGTGATCCTCCTGCCTTGGCCTCCCAAAGTGCTGGGATTACAGGCATGAGCCACTGCGCCCGGCCTGAGAATTTTTTTAACATTCAATAAAAGAAGACAAGTATTCATAATTCCTTTACTCACAGAGAGCTGTTATTTCTGATCCAGTGGTCCCCAAACTGAGGGGTGAGTGAGAATTACTCAGGGTGTGTAGGTAGACAGAGATCCTTAGGCTCTGCTTTCAAAGACTTAATTCACTAGGTCTGGGGTAATATCTGCATTTTTAATAAGCCCCCAAGGTGATTCTGAGGTATATGAGTGGCAGACCATATTGGGAGAAAGAAACTGTGTATTCTATGCATTTTTAAAGTTTTGTGTATGTTTAGATATTTTGTATGTGCTTCTACCTATGTTTGTATATATGTACATTATACACATGTACACATGTATATTTTTACATGTAGGCTGACCTCAACTGTTTTTCTCATTTAGCATATATGAGCATTTCCCCACGGCATTAAGTGTTCTCTGAAAGCATGAATTTAATGATTTTCTATTATTGCATTCTGTAGATACAGTATCATTTAACCATTTTTTTATTTGGAGGCAGTGAGATTGTTTTCCATTATTATAAATAATACTATCACGAATATTCTTATGCATAAATCTTTATCTCTGAGTATTTCATTCCTTAGAATTGATTTATCTGAGGGTGAAAATCTGACTTCTTTTTGGAGGTTTTGCGTAGGAATTGCCCACTGGTTTCCATGCTCTTTTACACTCCTAGCAGCAGTGAATAGGAGTGGCCTGTCTCGGTATTCTATCTGGAGATGATATGGAGTATCATCAGCTCATGACCTTGCTAACTCTTCTTCCCCAAGACATTAGTCCTATGAAGATTATTTTCACCTCCCAGTGCAAATAACTTTGTTATGTCTTGCAAGTAGGACGTATTGTGATTTCCTTGAATACTCTTATGCCAACTTAAAAATTTGGTAGTTTTTACTTTAAGGGTAAAAATCCTTGCTTCAAATATGTCCATGACAGACGTACAGTGAAGGTACTTTTTTACTAACAAAGGTATAAATTTATCATGAAATGTGCTGGTTCTGTCCTTACTGATTGATGGATTTTTCAGGTAATGAATGAGTCAGCATTTTTCTTACATGGGAAGACTAAAAAGGAAGCGCTGGTAATGCTTTGAATGTTCCCTCTTGGCAGGATAAGAATAGAGCGGGGGGTGGGCCGGGGGGAGAGGGAGGAACAGGGAGCGGGTAAGATGGCAAAATTCGTTTCTTCCTTAGTAGGAAGTAAACAATGTCTAAAAGTGAAAAATAAATAGTACTCTAAGCATAGTATGTTTTTAAAAAGCAGAAGGGGGGGAGGAGGGACTAATAGATGAATAGTTAAGAGTGGAAGAAGGGATCAGAAGGGTCAAGGGGTGGGGAGGGATGGTCAGGGGACCGCTATTTTTTATTAGCCAAATAATATTAGCACTATTTGATATTTTAAACTATTTGTGTGTATTCATTTACTTCAAAAATTACATTAAAACACTCATACAGATAAGATGCTGCTCTGAGTAATCTTATCAACTGCATGTCTCCCCATGGGTACTCCAGGCAGTTAACAGCTGCTCTCAAGCCTTTGTAACATTCCAGTCCCATTCTCCATACTGCAGTCTGAGTCTGTGTGTTTTGTTTTTTTCAAAATGCACATTTGAGTCTCACATTCCCCCTGCTTGAAACTTTTTAGTGGCCATATCTTACCCACCTTCCCAATCTAATCTTCCTCTATACTTCTGCAGCCCCAACCACGTGGGTCTTCTTTCAGTCCTTTGTCAGGACTTTCTGTTGTCATGAAGCCTTTGTTAGGCCTGCTCCCTCTGCCTAGAATGCTCTTTCTCCTCTCCCCAAGTTAACCCTTACTGGGCCTTCAGATCACAGCCCTATAGTCACAGCCTCATGGAAACCTTCCCTGGCCTCCCCACTAGGTAGCATATTACTCTTTTCTTTTCTTTTTTTTTTTTTTTTTTGAGATGGAGTCTCGCTCTGTTAACAGGCTGGAGTGCAATGGCGCAATCTCTGCTCCCTGCAACCTCCGCCTCCCGGGTTCAAGTGATTCTTCTGCCTCAGCCTCCATAGTAGCTGGGACTATAGGTGTGCACTACCACGCCCAGCTAATTTTTGCATTTTTGGTAGAGACGGGGTTTCACCATGTTGGCCAAGATGTTCTTGATCTCCTGACCTTGTGATCTGCCTGCCTCAGCCTCCCAAAGGGCTGGGATTACAGGCGTGAGCCACCACGCCCGGCCGCATATTACTCTTAGAGCACCTGCACCTGACCTGCCTGGTGCTTGGCACTTACTATTTTCATGTTGGTTCTGTGAGCGATATTTCTCTTTCCCATTAGCATTGTAAGCTTCTCAAGAGCAGAACTGTGTCTTTTGTTTCCCTCTGTGCCTAGCTTGGTGCCTGGAACATATTAGGCACTCGATAAATAGTGTTGACTGGTTCAGTTTTCCCTGTCATCCTGTTATTCAGTTAATATGCAGTGCCTTGTTTTCCTAGGAATTCTTCCTGATCAATATTAAAAACAAGCAAAATTTCCATCCCTAGTCTCTGAAATAAAAGTGGGAAGGAGGATAATGGTTGTATATGACTAGTGGGGTGAATCCTTTTAAGTACTAATTTTAAAGCTTTAGTTTTGTGTCATACGATATGCAGACAGAAACCTGGACCCATGGGAAGGGTTGGAAAAAAGATTTACTCTGCCTAAAAAGTTGGGATGTTAGCTTTTGCAATGTGTAGGGAAATCAGAACAGAGAGGAGACAGCCAAGCCCTAGGCAGGAGTCTGGAGCCCTGTGCAGGTAGGAAAAGTGGGAAAACTTTAAGAACGCAGATATCTGATACTCAATTTCATGTTTCCTGCATTGCTTGGAATTAAATCCGTACTTTCTACCTGACTTTCTTTGAAGTCTGCTATACACACATGACTTGGGGATCGCTTCCCCGCCCTGCACACCACCAAAAGAGAACAAGTTCTAAATTCCATGACTAGGTTGACCTGGCAGGGGGCAAAGGACAGCAGGGAAGAGAGTGAGACAATCCCCAAACTCATACAGTTCACAGGAGCTGAAGTCAGAG